GTGCTCGTTAATCAGCACGGAGCGGCGCAGCGGCTCATTAGGTGCCTGTTAATCAGCACAGGCGCTCGCCGGCTGAAGTTGTATTACAGTTTCTTAAATAATAATAATAATAGCAAAAAAAAAAAAAAAAAAAATAAAGCCAACAACTCGATTGCTCTCTTGAAGATGAGCCCCGTCACAAGGGGCTGGAGTCGCCTCTGGTCCTTCACCCCAGGCAAATACCAAAATTTCAGGATCGAGAGACGACAAGAGAAGAGTGGAAACCTGCTGCGCCCGCCAAGGTGCACCCTTTGGGTGGTCGTTGAGGGGCTGGAAGCTACCCACAGCGTCCTGGTGACGCCGTGTCACCCCACAGCTCTCCGTGCTCAAAATGCCTGACTAAACGTTCACCCTAAACCAGCTTTTTCATTCGATGTGCAAAAAGAAAACAGCTCTCCAGGTCTTTCTTTTTTTTTCCCCCCCCATACCTCGCAGCAAAAGCCTCCAAGCAGCAGAAGATTCATCCCTTCCTCACAGAGCGTTTCGGTGGAAAGTGAGGGGGTGTTTCCACGCCATCACCACGGCTGAGCTTCGGCACCTGTTGCAGTTCAGAAGGGGCTGGAACAACGAGATGCACCTGAAAAATGCAAACACACCCTCCCAAAAGGTCACCCCTGATGAAGGACTTGAGCGAGTGCCTCCTCCAGAAGGCAGGCAGGTTGTGCTCCAGCTCCCTGCTGGGTCATAGAACAGAAATCCTGTCATGTGTGTGTTTAAAACTAAAAGCGATACCCCCAGGGTCACGTACAGAGGGTCAGACATTTGGCTCGCTGTGAGGAGCGTGAGTTTCAGAGGGGGATTCTCCTAAAATGCCGACACGTTGTCTCATGGTACGGCACAACAGGAGCCTCAGAGCAAAGGCGCTGGAGCAGCGCAGCGGGATTCGGTTTCAGCCGTGGAGGAGGAAATGGGAGTTCAGTTGTGCTCTAATGCACCAAAACTATCGGCTAAATTGCAGCTGGGGGATCCTGACTAGTCGAGATGGAGAACAGTCATCATCATCATCACCACAGGCACCCAGGGAACTGTAACTTGAACCAGCTTGAACGAAAAAGACAAAAGATCTAATGAGTTTTATCTCATTTTAAATCGTTCCTCTGACCGCAGCCATTCTGCCTTCAAGTTCTCTGGACCCTCACTAATTGGTCCGGGGTAGTAACGAGAAAACACAGACTCATCCCTCTTGGAGGTCCGAGCATGTTCCCCCATTCCCACAGTGACAGCGCTGGCTCCGGCTATGCCACTTGCTTTTATTGTTTACGTTTTTAAGTCAATTTATCATGGCCCATCAAGTGGGCAATGGCTGCCCTGAACACACAAGCCCCTTTCACGTCTCCCTCAGACAGCTCCACAAAGGAAACATTCATTCAAGGCCGGGCCGTGAATAACCCCTCACTGAAAAGAGCCGCTCGCTGAACAAGCCAAGGGACGGGACAAAGAGCCCTTTCAGAGCAGCCCCGGCCGAGGTGGGCACAAAGGAAACGCCGGTGAGACACAGTTACAGACCAGTATAAACCCCTCTTCTCCCCCTCCCCGAACACGAGCGAAATGATAATTCAAGAGAATTCAAATATTAGAGCTCAGGGGGGCCCGGCTGAGGGTTCCCCTCGGACATCTGCTCTCCGCGGCCGACCTGACGCAATCGCCGACGCCACCAGGAGCCCGAGGTGACAGAACGGCACCGTCACGGTCGTGCTGCGTCACGTGACGTTCCACGACACGTCAGGTTCAACCCCCACCGCGCTTTTGAGAAGCGACTGGTGACAAGGGCGCTCCCCCACGCACTGCGGGATGTGCTCCCCTGGCTCCAGGACACGAGCTACGGCATTTTACCAACTTAAGATTAAGGCTGAGCCTATTACCGCCGGATTATTTTTATTTTGGGGAAGCTTTCCCTCTCACCAGCAGTAACCCCTACGGCTGCGTACGAGCCTTCCAGAGGATGCTGAAGCTGCTGGAGGAGTCCTCGGTCAGACTGAGAGACCCGTAACTCAGGATCCATCCGTGTCCTGAATGCAGATGCTTAAAATAAACCTCCGCGCTCTTCCCACAAGTATGGCCTCAGTGCGGGTGACAGGGCTCAGTCCCAGCGTGGAACTACCCAAATCCCAGCAATTAAGGGGCACACAGATCCAGAAAAGGCTTTATTAGGAATGTTTAAGGTACAGTGTTGCACGCTCTTGCTTCACACTGTATTTTAAACGGAGCTCAGGACCCAGGCGTGCCAGAGCACAGGCTTTTCAGCGGCCGCATTCAAGCGGCGACGTGTTCTACGCAGGTTTAGCGCCGGCTCTGTGAGACCCTGGCGCAGCGAGCTAAGCCAGGGTGAGTCGCCGAGGGCGTTTTCCCGTGCTACCAGCGAGGCTTTGCCCATCAACCCCAGTTCCCAAGGGAGCAGGGAGCAGGTCCGCAGCCCCGTTCCCCTCTCCTCAGGCGCTGGGGGCGTACTGCATGGCCAGCCGGTCAAAGTCGTTCTCCTTCAAATCAAAAATAAAAAGGAACCAATCTTGAACTTTACCGAAAATTGACTAAACCCTGCATCACTCCTTTGTTGAACACCCGGCTCGTGTTTCCCCAACATCTCCCACAAGGGCTAGAACACAAGGGATGTGACAGAACACGGGCCTGCCCCCGCAGGACCGCAGTCGCGCTGGCTGGCAAAGAGTCCGCTCGCCCCGTCAGACACGGGAGGAGGCAAGAGAAACTCCGTGTTCTAGGAGACAGCAATTAGTACCTTTGCCTGATACTCCTTGATGAACGGGTGGGTTTTGTGCGCATCTTTCAACTGGGACAAATAGCGATTCGTCACCTGACGGGACGAGAGAGAGAAATTTAAATACTGAGGCAACAAGAGGAAATGCCAAGAGTTTAAAACATCCCACTTCAATGTATTTGTTTACAGCGAGTAAAGACCTGATTTTCTCAGTGTCCTGCGTGTCAGCAGCCCCAGTTAAAACCAGTAAGACCTGTGCATACTTTGCACTTAAAAATTAGACCTTAAATAGCGGGTTGAAGAGAACAATCAGTGAGAACTGAACTCAGAACTCAACAAACTTCTTTTTCTGCCCAGGCTTTCCTCTCAAGTATATACACCATTGTCTACACCACCTGTATTCCCACAAACACTTTACTGGCTATTGAAGACGTGAGCTCCCCGCACCCCAGAACCACCCTGATGGGAACACACAAAACTGCAAAACCCGAGCGAAGTCACCACGTGCACGGGGGACGCACAACCCGCCCCCAGCAGCGGGAAGAGGCCGGTCGGATCCGCCTGCCGAGCCCAGCAAGCCGAGCCTCACCTCCGGCGCTTTGCCCAAGTGCTGTGACAGGACAACGAAGTTGATCAGGGTCTCGGGATGGCCGCTGTCCTGAAAATAAGAACAATCACCGGATTTACTTGACTTTCCTCTGCCGTGACAGCGCCGTTCTGCAAGAACAAGTTCTGCCCAACCTACAGCTCACTGCACTGGGAAAGGCAAAGCAGGACAAAAGGCAGGTATTAACAGCGACCTCAGCAAGAGAGATCAATATATTGGTGTCTTCACGGAGTCTGGCAGTGGAAGTCCTTGCTGCTTTACCCTGTACCCCCCCGAGAGCAAATCTGGCGGGAAAAGCAGGCCGTACCTTGTCCAACGCCTCCTGAAGCACTCCCTCTGCATCGTCCCACTTGCCCTGAGCCATATAGCAAGCAGCTTGTCCGTTGAGCAGGAGGAGGGTGGAGGAGCATTTGTCTGCCATCTCTTGGAAGATGTAATAGGCGTCCTGTAACTTCTCGCCACCCTGCAAAGGGAGGAGACAAACACCCCCAGCTTCAGCACGCGTTGCTAAGAAGCCGGGGCGTTCTCGCCGTGGCTGAAGGACGAGGCACAAAGTTCATCCCTAGGGTACGAAACGTGTAAGAATCCTAACAGCTGTCAGCATCCGTGTGATCTCCTGCACCACAACAGATCGCTGTCAGACCACAGATGAAACAAATGCAAAAATATTAAATATTCACAACCACTTAAACGATCAAAAGCTCCAGGCTTCCATTCAAAAATAAAAAATAAAACCACTTCAAAAAAAAAAACCACCCCCACTTCAGATGTTTGACGTAACAAAGGACTATGAAATGGTATTTTTATAATTAAACACAGGTATGGACAGCTGGCTTCTCAAAAAGTTCCAGCTTCAGCAAGGTTCTACAGGCAGTGGCTTCTGCCAGGTACAAGGGGGATCCCTTGAGGCAACGAAGATCTTCAGGAACAATCCAGCTGCACACGGCAAGGGCAGGGCTGTGTGAGGGATTTCACAGCCAACCCAAGTGAACGCTGGAAAAGGAGCCTTAACAGTGCAACAGGCTATCGCATGGATAACCGTGGACTTCACTGGATTTTGTGAGATTACTTATTTTCAGTCACCTGAGTACCTGGGCTGCCAAATGCTATGTTTCTGTCCGAGTCACAAACATGTTTAAAGAGAGATATTTTGTCCGATTCACAAACATGTTTAAAGACAGCCTGCTCTGAGCGGAGAGCAACATTTTCTTCTTGGAGCTGAACGGCAAGGTCAGGTTGCTAACACCACCGCAGCTTTCCATTCTACATTGGAATGTTTCGTGACTCATTAAGCCCAGTTCAGCTCTTCCCTGTGCGAGCTGAAGGCTAAGGAGCACAGACGAAAGACTGACAACCAACACAGCCAGTCAGCGTGTGAAGCCAGCTACCAACACCTTCTGTGCGCCTGAGGGAAGGGAAAAAAACCCCAATCCCAACCCAACAACCCCCCCCCAACCCCCACGCTTTTCCGAGAGCACGACGTGGGAAGAGCACTCGGGAAGAAGGAAGGGAGCGGTGTCTCCCCGCCGCTGCAGGCGAGGGATCCCCACTGAAGACACTCACTATGGCCAGGTTCACCCAGGCAGTTGCCAGCTGGGTAAGAGTCGCGTCCTCGTCTTGCTCCTGCATCTTCTTCAGCTCCTTGCTGCAGAAGCAGAGGCGGGAGTCACACAACAGAGAGACAAAGCGACTTCTTCCACACAAAGAAAAGGCTGGGGTTTCTTCTCTCAGCTCTCCCGTTGCCACAGCCCAACAGGCCCAGCAAGCTGGCAACGCGGCACAAACACCTCTCAACGTTTTCCTGAAACAATCTGTGAGACCCCCTGCCCCCCTGTTTTACTGCCCTCGGGCAAGTCAGAAACCCAGCACTAGAGATTCAAACCACGAAACCACGGAACCCAGAGGCCCATCTCTTCCTTTAGCTGCATCCAGCGCGACCATCTCCACAGCCTCTGCCGCTGGAAGAACAAAATCATTTCGCAGCGCACCCGCGCCCACGCGCAAGCTGCTCCGTCCCCTGCAGGTGTTCAAACGCCGCGCCCCGGGGGAGGAAAATTCTCTTCTCAAGGCCCACCCCACAAGAGCCCCAGGAAGAAGCAAAGGGACACAACCCTACCGAGCCAGATCGAGCCTGTCGAGCTTCAGAAGAATCTGTATCATCATGGCCATGCTGCAACGAACAAGAGCAAAGCGGTTTTCACAGCCGCAGCCGTCGCTGCTCCCTGCGCTTCGCCCAGGAGCCTCCCTGCCGCGGGGAACCAGCAGCTCTGGGAGCAGGAGCCGGGGTGGGGAAGGTGGCTCCCACGCGCTCCCTCGCTGCGCTGTCGACAAAAGGTCGCCATCACGACAAACTTATCCCCGCCGCGGCAGAGAAGCCGGCACTTCTTTGCTGCAGCGCTGGGGAGCACGGGGGGTGGCTCCACCTTAGCTGCTTCATAGTTACATAAAAAACCCTCAGCATTTTATATCTTTTTTCTGCAAAGTCATGGTCTTTAATACATTTTAACATAAGCATGCATTATGCCTGCTATTAATTTTGACATTTCAATGACTGGTCCACCCTATTAACTAACTTCATTAGTATTCCTATACTAATATAATCATGGGTTATCTTACTGATCAAGATCTCTGATATACAAATTAGGATGGGGAGGACATGAGGGTCTTCACCTTAACATTCCTTATTTTCTTCATCTTATTCCTTCCTGGTTTCATCCCATAAGATAAGAAGACACCCCAAGAACGGGCACTTTCCCTCCCTGTCCCTGCCTCCCTGTCCTGTTCTGGGCAATTTCACAATGAGCAGCAGCTTTAGCTTTGACCTTCTTTGCAAGGCCTGCAGCTGTGGTTTCTTAGCAGCAGTGAGGTTTTGTATATTTCTTACTACAATGTAAACTAATATCATCAATACATAGCGTTAGCTGTTCCTTAAAGCAATTAAGTCGTTCATTAAAAGCAATTAGTTATCAATGAAAAGTAATTTATCTATTCAAAATCCAGACTTGATTATAGCAGCACTGCCATAACGCTCACCTCAGCGACCCCGAAGACCCACCAGTCAATAAAGCAGGTTCTTAAGTTACCCAGGGGAACAACAGCCCTGATACCGTAGGACGGGCACCAGATCGCTTGCTACTCAGCAGGCAAACCTGACAGCAGTTTCTCGGCGGCTTCAAGGCTTTGCAGAGACAAGCCAGCCCTCAGCCATTCCCACAGCACCTCTGCCTAGGCAAGAGAGAGGCTTTGCCAGCGCACCCCCGCAGCGCGAGTCACGCTTACCATTCCAAGCTCTCCCCTTGATGCAGCGCCCGCAGAGCTGCGTCAGGATTTTTGTCGTGGAAATAGATGGAAGCAGCCATCAGCAAGAAAGTAGTGTTGGCTATATCAACGCTTTTTGCCATTTTCTTGTCCAAATCGGCAACAATTGCATCCCTGTGGAGAGCAAGGGTGAGAATTTGGGAGTGTTTTGTTGCTAAGCAAGATCCTGCCCCCACACAATTCTGCCTTTTTGACTTTTCACTGCAAAACCCACAGAAAATCACAATAAAGACACACTTCCACGTGACGCTTTCCACACGGAAACATAATCGCTGTCAGACAGGGCGGTAAGACAGCTTACTATCAGACTTACCTTTGACTCTCATTTGAAAGATATTCTGCAAACATCCTCACTGCTTGGAGCTCAGGACTAGCATTGGCTTTAATTTCATCCAGGACAACACCGTATTTTCTCTGTTGAAAGCAACAAAGAAAAACCTGTGATGCACTAGTTTTTCAGAAAGCAGAATCCAGTTGTTTATTTTCTAAAACCTCAGTTAGAACAACAACCACGAGAACCAGGAATGGCAAACTTCTTTATGTCTCACATCGTGCTCTACAAACGCCGCCAAATTTCACAGCCCCAGAGAGGACTGTCTGCCCGTGGGCCGTTTTAAAGAGGATGAAATACTTCTCAAAGAGGCCTCATCAGCTCACCCAGACCCAACGTACGACCCACCACATTCACCATGGCATGACTGCCAGGAAACACGCTACGTTCCAGTGCGGAAGGGGGAATTATTACTGCACCATGTAACTCTGCATTCACGGGGCTCAGAGTCACAACCTCCTCGGCTCCAGCCCTGCAGTCGGATCACAGGAACGCAGCACCTACAACCTCACCTGGGCGATGTAGGCTCGGAATAAGAAAACATCCCTCTCCACTTCCTTCTCAGGGTTAGATGGCTGAAGGGACGACAAGAAACAAGAACCTCTCTCAGAACCCGTACAGCCAGAACCCCACCCCGCAACAACCCAACCCCACACAC